TCACCTCGGATGCCTTTTTGGTTAGTTTGCAGCGATGGACTCCTTTAGTCCACCAAAAGCATCGGCAGGAGGGGAATTCTTCTATGGTTGGTGCAATCGGTGCCACTTCCACTCGAAGATCGGAATTATTACACGTTTCTTCCAGTCTTTTGGAATCACTAACTTTCGCCAGATGCGGTGAAAATCCAGATGGATCCAGCAGAGGTTTTAATTTCCGTCCCATTTCCGTCCTACCAAAGGACTTCACACTGTTTCGGCAGAGTCGTGTCAGCTCTCAGATTTTTCGATCAGTGGTAGGGTGCAGGCAACATCTAGATTTTTTCCAATTTCTTCTTCCATTTAGAGATTCACCGGAGAACCAGGTCCATTAAGAAGCTCTCCAAAGTGCTTGGCACAGTATAGAGTTTCAGAAGCAGCCGCCCTCGTTCAGACGGTCACGAAGATCTTGCAGTGGCTCATATGACTTGTTATGTAACAAGCCGGCAGTATGCTTCTCTCTGTCACCTTTGGCGACGGTATTCACGTGGCTGCATAGCCTTTTAGCCTCCTTCCACCACCGCTTTCTCTCATTTCGGTACTTCGAGATCCAATCATCGATGCTTGTTCTTGCAGTAACTAAGTCCAGTTGTCGTTTTCAGGATAAAGCGATACTGTCTTTTGTTCGACACGCCAGGGTCATGCAAACACATTTGCTACGCCGCATTTCTTACTCCGCTAAGACTTAAATTTTCTGTCGTGATCCAGGGCTACTTCGTTTTCCTCTTGCTGAAGCCAAGAGTGTTGGCAACGACATCGACGATTCCTTCATTGTGGAGATAATAAAGCAGTTCCTGGTCCTGAGAGATGATGACGGCGCTCGCAGGAGCAAATTTCATGCTGATTTCCATGTGAAACGCCTCCGTAACAAAGCATGTGCCTATCCCCAGTATCTGAGATGTTACGCAGTTGTTATCAGACGAAAGCGGGCTGTCACTTCACTTCGATTCGCCAGAGTGTTGTGGAGGCCACTTCGCAATTTATCCCTGATCAGGACGTGGTCAATTTACCTTCCGAAGTGACCTCTGTGTCACTGTCCAGAGGGCTGTCCATGTCTGCTAACGAATGCGACGATGCATAAGCAGCGTTCTGTGGAAGTCGAAATAATGCTTAGCGTAAAAGTCTACGAGACTGGCCGCTGTCATTGGCGAAATAGTTGCCATGTCGACCTAGCACGCGAAGCCAGCTGTCGAGGGCGTTGAGGTCACCGACGATGATCAATAATTTGTCAGGGATAGAACCAAGAACCGCATGACGACAGGCGTAGAAGTGGTCTGTCTTCGGGTCCTCCACAACGTTCGTAGAGAAATACATGAGACAAAGTTCGTCTTAACGTGTCTCGTTGCGAATATGCAAATGATTACATGGCAACTCGTACATAACAGTGTTCGCCGTTCGGAGGGGGAGGTAGAACTGCGACTCCAGCCTCGCGGCGAGAGTCCTGGTTGCCACATCAGTGGAACTGCCATCCTTTTTCAAGCCGTTTATATCCGTAGACTGGTAAGTGGGACTCTGAGAGGCCCAAAGAGACCAGCTTATACCTCACAACGGTGTGAACGTCGTCCAGGTTGCAATCACCGTACGACGTCCGTACATTCCAGGAGGCGACACAAACCTTTCTCTTGCAAAAGCTGAGTTCCTACGGGTAAGATTTCTTTGTAAAATCTTTGTAACCACGTTAATGTAAACCGTTCATGGCATAGGCATGGTAAACTGCGCGTGGCGCAGCGAAATCGCGATGTATCCGCCCACTCTCAAAAAATGGCAGTCCAACCATCTGTGGTAGCTACATCTGGAAATCAGAACTGTATTTTCTTAACCTGTTCCTTCATTATTATACTCTTATTGTAGAATTAATATGTCCATTTAAAACAAAAACGAAGATAATTTCGTCTTTCTCATGTAACGACTGAAATTTATACAGTATGCGCACCGTCTTTTTGCTTATGGCTACCTAAAGGACCAGTTAAGCAGGTTATGGCTCCATGCCATGTCAACTTTACAATGTACGGATGCAATGCCCTATCACAGAGTTTGACCAAACAACAGTGTGTTCGAACACAAACTATAATGCCACATTTGTAGGAGTACACAAAATCTGGCCGAGGGTAACAAAATCAACTATCTGCCTCAGTTAATCCAAAATACCGGAGTGAGCATCAACGTAAGAGATTAAATTAAACACTGCGCGAGAATATTACCCTATCTGAAAGTTAGTACCGATATAACGATATAATGAAAGTGGAAAATTTGATTCACGATATTGTCTATCACGAGCAATGACGAAGACAATATTGCGTACTCCCAACCTTGGTTCCTGAATAAAATCACGAGAACTTAGACATTCTTCGTACCTAGAAACACTGAATTTCGAGAGGCATTTCCATTAATATTATCATTACATACGTAAAAAGAGAGAAATCATCGAAGATTTCAGGAATAACCAAAAATTGTGGAAGCAGTTGATTGGATTAACAGACCGCTGTAACAGGGAACCCGCTGGGAAAAAGATTATCATCACATAAGTCATGCGCCATTGTAACATAATTTGTCCCAATGATGTCCAATTTATTGTAGCAGATAAACGAATAAATTGAAATAAGAGAATGCTTTTCGTTCAGGGTATACTAAACCGCGAAACAGCACATGTACTGAATGGATACGAGGCGAGAAAATAGAACAACTGCCAAGTTTGCACAGCAAACTATATCCTCGACAGCTAGCACATAAATTGCCCACAAAGGGGACACGGATATGTTTTTCCAGCTACATCTCGGCACGCATACCAAA